CGCCCTGACCGCCCGCAGCCTCCAGGTGGGAAACGCCACTCTGGGAGCGTACCGGAGCCACCGGGCTTTAACCGACGCCCTCCGGCCAGGTACCGTCCACCAGGGTCGTCAAAAGCATCGATACTCGAAAAAGTATCGATACTAAAATGTTGTATCCGGATACGATGCTCATTTTTAAAAGTATCAATACCACCGCCCCTTCTCTCTGATTTTTTTATTTACATTGATTATGATAATTAACGTGACGTTATCCTTGAATTGCTAATGGATAATTATAACACGCCAACTTTAACCCTGTAATGCCAAATGTATCATATTTGAAAGATATGGTTTCTGAAATGTTTTGCGTCTGACATTTTTTGCATAATTTAATGGCAAAAACTTTGCTCAAAATCCTATTGTACACAATCAGATGTATCTGATAACAGGGGGCTACACAAAAAATAATCTTGACTTATCGGATAGGAACAAATTATTAATATTTAAAATTGCCGTCGCTGCACCCCTTCTCTCTGATTTATTGATGTATCTATTTACGTTGTTTATGATCATTAACAAGACGTTAGCCTTGCTAGCTGCGGCTAATGGCTAATAATAACATGCTACCATTAATCAGGAACATATCCAACTCCACCCACATCCAACACATCCAAGTCGGCCATTTTGATTACGTCACCAATAGGAAGATCCCAGGCAAGAAAATCCTAATTGTTTCATGGCAATATAGACATTCATTTAAAAATAGTTAAATGAATCTTTCAAACACTTAATTAAACTCTATACATATTATGTTAAAATAGTGGATGTTAAATAGGTTTGTACAATAAGTCCAAACAAATTTAACCAAAAAATAGTTTGTCCTCAGGCCACGACGGGGCGATAGGTGTTTGTGTCACGGCCTTTTAATTTTTTCTTAACCGAATTCTTCCAACAAGAAGTTGACGCCCTCGGCTTTATTTCTTTGTAAAATTATAAGGAAGTAACAAACAAAATTCCCTTATAACTTTGTTGCAAGTAAAAAGTAACAAAGGTGATCCAAAAGGTAAAACAAAAGTGTAGCGTGGTAAAAAAATCTTTTTAATGCAAACCTCCCGTCATCACACCTGACATCTCCCATCCAGATATACCCTGCGATGTTTTAATTCTTCCAAATTAGACTTAGACTTAGACTTAAACTTCCTTTATTGTCATTTGTACAAAAAACACAAGGTGAATCTCGACAACGAAATATCGTTACTTGGCTACCAGTGTGACAGAGCTAAGACCTTATTCCTACTTAATAAATATGTTTTCTATATCTAAGAGCTCGATATATACAGGGTAACAGCATATATATACATATTATTACACAGAGTTATTACAAAAGAAACATCAATGAATATTGCACTGAGTTAATTAATGGGAGGAGCTTGGAAAATTACCGAATAAATCCTAACAATTAAATTCTAAATGAAAATTCTGTGCAAACTAAAACATATTTTAACTATTTAAAATTAAACAAAACACTTTAATGACAAAAAGTTAACTTAAATGGCCACAACAGTTTGTGAGTAATGAATTCCCAGACTCCAGCAAGGAATGATGACCAAGTTTTAGACAGAAATGTGTATATTTTCTGACGTAATCCGTTTAGTTTCGGATGTTTCCACGTGTTTGTTGCGCTTTAGTGGTGGCGTGCGGGTGGCTTCCCGCGCCCAGGAACGGGAAGAAGAACGGGACGCGTTACCTTCAGGGAAACACGCTGAAGTTCTCCTGCGATGAGGGTTTCACGATGTTCGGATCCAGGGAGCGGAGCTGTGTGGAGGACGGGTCCTGGACCGGAGAGCAGCCTTACTGCTTTAAAGGTCGGTCCCCGAAAGATGTACAACCAAAGGCTGCTTTTATTTCTCTCCTTCCTCTTCTTCTTCTTCTTCTTCTTGGCGTGGTTTCAAAAATTGCAAGTTAACTCATTGACTGCCAGCCATTTTCAGAACAGAGAGTCCCATACTGCCAGAGTTTTTTGAGCATTTTGACTGATTTTTCAAGAGCCACAGAATAGTTTGTGCTATGACTATGTAAACACCGAACACACCAAAAGAAAGAGTCGACTCTCTTCTTTCATCAGGAAAAAAAATGTGTTTCTACCTTATTCCGTTCTTCCTCGACTTGTGTCTCACCGGCGACATGTTCTCTCATAGCGAACCGTTACCTTTTTCTTATTTGCTTACAGTCTATGCTCATCTCCCATCAAAAGTGGCACTGCCACCTAGAGGGTCAATTTGTTACTACATACTCTGTCTAGAAGCCGATATTTACGGACAAGCTTTAGCAGATCGTCCCCCAGCCACTCTCGTTGAAAAACATAAAAGACGTCTATAGACGTCTTTGGCAGCGAATGAGTTAAAGATAAGCAACCTCGGTTTTGCTCCCCACATATCGAGAGGGGATCTGATTCCAGAGTATTTATTTGTTTTTGCTCACTTCCAGTTTAGTGGAAAATAAAAGGCTAACACACATTTAACGCGTCTTAGAGAGGAAAATAAGTCACCCAGAGGTCTGCAGCAGGATATCTAGTAATTTCTTTCAAACAGATTTGGACTTAGAATTTTTTATTTAACTTTAATTTATTTTCAATATCAAGGCCAGGTTGAGATTGGAGTTTTGTTTCCACAGAGGAACACCGGGAAACTGAAGGGTTTTTTAGAACTGTGGGGTTTTGGTAATGTATTGTGCACCGTTTGTGATCGGGGAGAACTAAAATATCATAAACTGCTATTGTAAATATTTATTGTGTTTTCAGTATTCTCTGATCTGATTATGTACCGTTTTTTATTGTTAAATTATTGAGTGCTAAGTGCTTTGCTAAAAAAAAAAAAAAAAAAATCTTCTTCTTCTTCTTCTTTTCCTGCCATCATCAGCTTTGATGAAGGGGATTGAGTCCACTTTGAATGTGGATGTAATTTATGGATGTCTTTATTCCAGATCTTAGTTTGAATAAAACTTGTTACAGGACTTCTTCGGGGCATTTGTAATCATCCTACGTCCCATCTTTTTCCCTTAACCCTTTAAAGCCTGATCCAAGAATAAAAGAAAACACAAAATTACCTTTTTTTGTTTTGAATTCCTTATTTGGCCTTTTAACAAAATATGTAAAAAGAAAAAACAGAAATACATTTTTTATATTAATAATTTATTACTATGCAATATTTTTTGTGTAGTCTTCTGCCCCCTGTTATCAGGTGTATCTGATTGTGTACAATAGGATTTTGAGCAAAGTTTTTACCATTAAATTATGCAAAAGGTGTCAGACGCAAAACATTTCAGAAACCGTATCAAATATGATACATTTGGCATTACAGGGTTAATAGAGCTCTCTTTAGCTCGTACCCTCCTCTAAAAAGGCATCTCACTTAATCAAACACTTCTGGAAGCGGTTCGTGTCGGGCCTTTTGCGTGAGTCATAAAGTGACCCTCCTCTCTTTCTGCGTCTGTAGAAGACTGATGTGGTAAAGAAGGACAGATGCAGCATCCCTGTTTCGAATTCCCACTTTAGCCATTATGCGAAAACCACTGCATGAGCTACGGGTTCAGGAATCAAAACCAGAGGAAGAACAGGACTTTAGCACACTTAGATGGTGTGATAAGGACTGTTCGAT